ATAAATTTAATTTTTAAATGATTTTGATCACCACTATTCCTACAAAAATTAGGCTTATATATTAATATGCGTTACTATCATGGTTGTCAACTTAATTTTTTTCACATACAACGTATTTGTTTGCTTAAAATTGAAGTTTTAATTCCATTTTAATACCACTGGGGAAAATGATAATGGAAGGGATTAAAAGTTGGCAGGTCTGTCATTTTCTTTGTGATAAAAAAAATAGTTTGATTAATTTGCCCCCTGCTAACCGAAAAATACCAATTTTTTTATTCATAAAAAATGCATCGTTTTCATTACATTGATTATAAATTACAATAAAATAATGAATTGTACTTAATAAAAAACAGTAATTTAACTATTTGCCGTAATATGATAGCACTGCAATGCGACCAAACGAAATGTTTGACTTTGCTGAATTTGACACCTTGTAGTCACTAAGCTATTAGTGAGATTACAGAAGTTCCGAAATATGTTATTTAAAACAAGTTGGGCAAATATTTATCATTAATACATTTTAAAACATTAAATATTTAAAAAAGAAAAATACAAGACTTGTATGTTTTCGTAATTGAAAGATAGTTAATTAAGTTTTAAACTAAAATTATCTCGTCGAATTTCTGTTATTTGTGGCACCTAAATTCTGTAAACTACTTGAAGTAAAGAAGTTAAATTCAAATTTAGAACAGTAAAAAAATTTAAGACAACAATTGTCTAATGTAAAACTAATAAATCTGATTGCTTAAATTGCATGAAAATCCGCATAACTCTTAATAAATCGATCGGTTTATAATTTCATTCATTTCAAAGCAAAAAAATAAATAAAAATACATCATTTACAATACTTCATCTGCTTGCATTAATAAAATTCACTTCTCTCCCATCCCAAAAAATTGAAGGGGGGTGGAGGTGGAGAATAAAGGAGTTTTCAGACATGATGTAAATTGTAAAGAAATGAAATTTTCCGTGGAAAAAAAAAATCACTCTTTTGGGAATTAATTTCTCTGGAAAAAACAATTCATTCGCCACATTTGATATAACGATTCTGTTTTTTCTTATCCTAAATAATTGCAGTAGGCCTCTCATTGGTATATAATTTTAACTTATTTAACAAGCAATCTATAAATATATAGTAAAAGCGATGAACCTTACTTATATTTTATAAACTTGATTATTTTCACTTTATCGAAACATAAAATTAGAGGTCGATATATGATTTCAATTATGTGTTACTGCGTTTCTCAATTATATGGTATTTTTGGGTTAGCCGGGTTTAAGTAAATTCAACTTTTTTTTTGTTGGTTTTAATTTGATTAATTTATTTTCTTGGCTGATGTCCATTTTGTTTTGTGACCAAAAAGTACCAATTTTTTATTCATAAAAAATATATCATTTTCGTTACATTAATTATAAATTACGAGTAATTAACAAAGAATTGTAGTCTGACAAAACAATAATTTGTCTATTTACCGTAATATGATAGCACTGTAATGCGGACAAACGATATGCCTGACTTAGCTAAATTTATCACCTTGTAGTCATTAAGCTATTAGTGGGATAACAGAAGTTTCGAAATATGTTACTGAAAAAAAAAACGAGCAATGTTTATCATTAATACATTTTTAAACACTATACATTTAAAAAACATACAGCACTGATATACCATCAAAGTCAAAATAATTCTACTTTGCTGAAATGATGGTAAAATCCTATTTTATCATCTATACTTCGATCATACAACTAGGTACTTGATGTGGTCTATATTTTGATATAATATTTAAAGTAATACAAACACTAAATATAGAAATATTTTATAACGACTTAATTAAGAAAAATACTCAGTTGCAAATGAAAATATACACGTTTTGTTTGATCTCAAAAAAAGTTTTAACATTCGTTAAGTCTGATTACGTCTAAATTTACATTTTTTTAAAAATATAACAATGATGAAAATTTAAAATTATACAAGTTTTATTAAAAATTGGCATACATACCCAATCTTGCTCTGTAAAATGTGTTTGATAAAAATGGCAATTTCTTTATTGTTGTTTATTTATTTGTACGAGATAAATTTGCAGGCTTGTCTGCGCAATTAAGACTTATGAACCTTTGTCAAGTAGAAAGAAGGTGCGAAGATGCATCATGGGTAACGGGATTCGAACCCGCTATCTCCACACTTCGCGCAGTGTTTTGAGGGCTGTAAAACATGGCCAAGGAGACCCTTTTGGCTTGTGTGCTCAATTGGTCAGGTTAAGCTGTTAGGGAGTTGGACCCCTGTTCGAGTGTTAGTGAGTTCTATCTGCATTTTATATTATAATATATGATGTAGGCCGTAGGTGGGATGTATGTATAAAGGATTTAGGCTGGGTTAGTCAGGTTGGAAAGACGATGGTCTTGTGTTCGTGAAAACGTGAGTTTGAATCTCGCCAACCAAAGATTCTCGTGTACAAAATGGTGACTGGTACAAGCTAAATCTGTCGGGGTCAACAAGTCCTCCCAAATTCCCATAACAAATCGATACGTCTAGAGATACTGGAGGGCAGAAGGATTGTAATCTAGTTCAGGACAAAATTACGATCTGCTGATGGATGGTGTGTGAATGCGTCCTCCCTGTAAAACGGAATGTTGTATGAGTGTTGTCTCTGGATCTTCCTCAGGAATGTTTCCCACGCCGTCGCCAATAGCCTATTATGCAGCTCTAGTGCGACGTAAATAAAAGTACCAGTGTGCTCAATTACTTAAATACGGCTAAGCCTCTTTCTAGTAGAAAGAAAGATGGTACAATTCAGAGAAAGACAGAACGGAGATACATGTAAGGTTACAGTGGCATTCAAACCACTAACTCCTGGCAACAGTGCGTTTGGAGAGCGATAGTCACTTTGCTTATTTATTTGTTTGTTTAATTATTTATACTTACACATGCATCTGCAGGCTTGTATGCTCACTACAAAGTACGGCGTATAAGACTTTATCAAGTTGGGGAACAGATTACACAAATTATCTAAAGACATCACAAATATATATCCAGATTCGAACTACTTACCTCCACACAGCAGACCGTATGGTGGGAGAACACAACTGATTGGCTAAGAAGGCCCTTTTACATACATATGCAAGCGCTGAGCCAAATATGAGGTACTTTTTATTAACGTTGCACTAGAGCTGCACAATGGGCTATTGGCGACGGTCTGGGAAACATCCCTGTGGATGATCCGAAGACATGCCATCTCAATTTAGATCCTCTGCAGAAGGGATGGCTCCCCTGCTTTGGTAGCCCAACGACCTGCGAGCGAAGTCGAGCACTTTACGGTAAAACTGTTTAAAGAAGACCAATACCGCTCACTCTCGGTCCCTACGCAGGCTGATTAAAATGGTCACCCACCAGCTGACCGTATGGTCACGCTTCAGACCATATGGTGGGAGAACACAACTGATTGGCTAAAAGGATCCTTCCACATGCATATGCAAGCGTTGTGCCAAATATAAGGTACTTTTTATTAACGTCGCACTAGAACTGCACAATGGGCTATAGGCGGCGGTCCGGGAAACATTTCTGAGAATGATCCAAAGACACTCTCGGTGCCTAGGCAGGATGGTCAAAGTGGTCACCCACCCGCTTACTGACCGCAGCCAGTGATGCTTGACTTCTGTAATCTACTGGTAACCATGTCGTTACCATCAATAAACTGCGGGACTATCGAAACCTAGAGCGATCAGTTATATCGTACACAAATAAAAACCCTATTTATTAGTTTTCTCTTCTAATTACAGAATCAAAAATCTTATTTTTTCTTTTACTTTTACAGTACGAAACTTTTAATAGAATATAGAATTATCACTTTCATTATTCTCTTTTATAAAGAAAGCACCGGCACAGATCAAATTGGTAATAAATGTATTCTAAAAAATTGAGATATGTGATTGAGATATCTTAAAATTTTTTTTAAAAAAATCTATGTAAATAAAATTTGAAAACGGGGCATCGCAATATGAAATTTTGGGAACAAAATATTCCAGTTTGCACAAACCCTGAACTACTAGATCTCTAAATATTTAGTGATTTTGAACAATAATATAGATTTATTTATAACAAAAAGATCTTGATACAAACTTGAGGTAATTATTTTAAAAATCTTAAGTTCCAATTGAAAACACCAATAAAAACGAAAATACATTTGTTATGTTATGTTTATTTAAATTATATACAAAATTATGCTTGTTTAAATTATATTAAAACCTAAGCGGAATAATTCGATTCACCATATTGAGCAGTGTTGGCATAATTGGCTCAGATGGGCTGTTCCTTGATCTTGGATCTAATTGATATTCAGGATTTAAAGGAGCATTGGCACTTAACAAAGTGTACAAGATTGAGTTTCTGGAGAAAAGTGAACTGAAAATAGATCTCGGCTCTCTGCTCATTTTATCGATGAAAATTTCTATCAGAAGTCTGCCAATTGGCATCAGATCTTCCTTAATTTCTTGCAGGGTGTAAGACTGCACATCAGAATCAGTGGCGTTTAAAAACAGACTTCCATGCTTAGCCATGAATTCTGTAAATCTCTGCCTTAGTTCTGCAGCATAAGGAACGGCGGCTTCTTCTAAATTGTCCACAGCATCGAACAGAACTTCGGTGTTTTGAGCAAGTCGGCTGAAAATTGAACTGAAATGCTTTTCGGCGACTTTTCTGATCAAAGGTGTAGCTCGAGTGTCGAACAGAGCTCTGGATGCGTTGATTTCGTCCTTTGGAATATGAATCACGGTGCCTCTTGGCGCACCAAAGGTTTGTTGGCGAACAGCACGCAAGAAAATGGGACGAAAAGCTTCCTTGGTTGTGAAGAAAATGCGTCGCAAGTCTTGTCTTGTTTCGTCGTCCTGCAGCATGTCGAAGATGATTGGCAAAATGATTTTGTTTTTGACAGTTTCTTCTTGCCTTATGAATATTGGTCTGACAGCAGGTATGACCTGGGCAATGATTGGGTCAGCATATGACAAGAGAATTTCTAGAAAGGACGTACGTTGACCATTGATAGTAATTTGGCGTTTGACTCTAGTCCTCCTTGGAACAAATTCTTTCGGTGACACGTGGTTTTTTGGGTCATCTTCAGCACAGTAAACAAGAGAGGAATTTCTGCACGTTTTTTCGTTTGCATCAAATGATTCCCCTTTTGGGCAAACTAGGAGGAACAATTCTGAACCATTGCAATACAAGTAAACCTGTAAGAAAAACAACAAGCATTTTAAAAAAGGGGTAATGAGTATTTTTGAATTAAATATAGATCTAACACAACAAAGTTTCGTTTATAAAGTGAAAATTTATATTGTTCGCTATCACTATAGAATAGAAAAGCTATTTAAATTAAAAAAGAACTAAAAACTATACTAAAACTTACAAAATCAAGAAATTTAAGAGAGAAAGATTTTATTGTTTGAGAATTATTAGCATAGGGGAGAGTGGGGTCAATTGTAACAGGGTACGATTGTAACAGAGCAAAAATTTCGAGTGTTGGGTTTTAGATTTGGTTCCTAGGTGGCGCACAAGGTGTATTTAATAAATCTACATGTACACTCCTGCTGGCAACCATTTTTATGTACTTTCGAAAGAGTTACGTCACAAAAGATATTTTCACGCTACGTAAGTACTTTTTTGGTATTAGAATATTATATTGTAACAAAGTAATTTTGTTTAAACAAATAAAAATTATTTACCGAATAGGTAAGTGGACACTTTAATTAACATTTAAAAAAAAAGATTAGTTTTGTTGATTAACTAGCATTTTTTTTTAACAAATGAAGCTGAAATGGCGTCTTGGGGACGATTCTTAACAATAAGTAAAGGGACGATTGTGACAGCTGAAAATAAATAATCTTATGTTTACAAATCATTACTTAACTCTTTAAGATCCACCAATAGTTTCCTATGTCATTTATATTATGTTGCATGTGCATTATTTTATTTGTCACCTTTCACAGCATAAATTAAAATTTTTAGTCCCTTAAAGTTAAACGTTTAACCCTTTAAAAATAAAAAAATATATCACAACTATGATAATTTGTATAATTAACTATGTTTCAGTTGAATTTATGAACTGTTACAATTGACCCCGTAAGTGGGGACAATTGTAACAAGTGCACGACTGTCAAAAATTGTCAATAACTAATATAATAACATTTAAAATAAGGTATTTAATTTTTTTTCTAGTTGAGGATAGTCTACTTTACTCGTCTGTCAATTAATACTAATAATATATTCGATTTTTTGTTAGTTAAAAATACTTAAGTAAAAAATGTTACAATTGGCCCCACTCTCCCTTACTATTTTCTCCTTTTTCTAGTTATTTTTTTTTTACTTGTAACATTGCGAAGAAATTATATATGCTGCATTTCAACTTAGCCTTGCAGAAACTACAGCACTCGAATAAGTCATTTATATTCCCCTTTTTTTCAGAAAAAGGTGAGGTAAAATTTCATCGCATCTATGAGATTTTATCACATGCTTTTTGCATCGATGTTACTGCTTATATTAGTTAATTTTATTTGCTTAATTTCCCTTTTCTGTTAAAAATGCTTAGAAATTTTTTTTATTATTAGTATCTTTTTAATTTTTAGATACTATATTTTTTAATTTGTATATTATTATAGGAAAAAAACTACGAATTATTTAAAATTCCATGAATTTTGTTTTTCATTTTAAACACTTTTTTTTCTTGAGCGTTAAAAAATGTACTGTCTTTTTCAGGGTTTCAGTATTTTGTCATAAATTTCTTACGAAATTCCTGTTAAAAATACTCGTAATTATAAATGAAATGTTAAGTGTCATAGTATAATAAATTTTTAGTGAAACCCACCAAGAGCCTATATTTATGCGATTTCTATAGAGATGATCTTACATTTAAAACAGCTTTCTTTGAATAAATATCAGCAGACAAAAAATTTTATTGTCAAATCGTTTGTAATATTTAACAGTAAAAACAGTTTTTAGTTAAATTCGTCGAATTATATAGACTTTTGCGTCTCCTAGTCCTAGTGTTTAGATTTTATAGGGCACCTGGGTCGCGAAGCGGCCCCTATCCCATTCATCTGGAATTTTTGAACAGTTTTGGTTGAGCAATGAGGTAAGCAGGCAATGGAGTTGCTTTTATGAATGTTTCAAGCTCTTTGCTTGAATAACTAAAAAGGAATCAAAAATAAATTGAGCAGCTTGCTCTAAACTGTGTTTGTTTGATTTTGGAGTTGTTCAGAATTGTATCAGCATGAGTAAACGTTATTTTCAGAAAGGTTGATGAAATTATTTGTTTTGATAGTTATGATATGAGGCGTCGGAGGTGAAATGTGCAGCTATTGGTCTGTAGTTTTTATCTTTGATATAATTTTCAAATTTAAAGATTTCATTAAAATTTGCNAGCATTTAGTTTGAACTTCCAATTTAGGCACCAGTCTTCCACATCATATAACTTGTTCTGTAGTTTTTGAAGTGCATTATCTGGTTTGAGAGATTTCTGCAAGATTCCAGTATCGTCAGCGTAAAACGCCGTGATACTGTTGTGGTCGTCGTGAAATATGGGGAAATCGTGGGTATAAATAATGAACAGTATCGGTCCTAGAATGCTCCCTTGGGGAACTCCCGCATTTATTTTTCTCTTGGATGAAACAACACTATTTAGTTTAATATTAAAAGTTCGGTTTGATAAGTAGTTATGTATTATTTTTACAATGCCATAGGGAAAGTTTAAGTTAATTAGTTTGTACACGATACCAGCATGCCAAACTCGATCGAATGCTTTGCTGATGTCAAGCATGAGAAATGCAGTTGTCTGTTTGTTGTGCAGGCCCTTACCAATGAAGTCAATGATTCGAAGGAGTTGTTTGGAGAAAGTACCTTGCGACGAACTTTTGAGGCTCATTATTAGCATTAATATATAACTAATATTATTTTAATAAAAAAATAGTGATTTAATACTTTTAGGTTTTCAATCAAAATTCTTCAATTACTCTTACACATGAAAAGACAATATACTTTTTCACATAAATTATAGTAAAAACCAGATGCGTTGGGAGATTGTTGCGGTGTTTAGGTGTTCAGGATGTTAAAAATAAACAATATTCACTCTAAAAAGAATGAGTTAGAGAGAACATTAACTAAATTAGAACTTTTTTTCGTGAAATAGGACGATTCCTAGAAGTCAAGATCAGTAGCTTAACAGCAGCGCTTAAAGTTTTAAGCGAAAGAAAATGCAAATCTGCAGTTGGAATTGTTAATGTATAGGACGATCAGCAACCCTGAATAAAAAACATTTCACAATAAATTTATAGCGGAAATATTAGTAAGTCATTTTTACCTGACAATGCATTGAATTGACAATATGTAATCCTTCATTCTGTTTGTTGCACTTATACTCATCATCAAAACAGAGGGCTGTGGTGGTACACATAAGCACTACAATCAAACATTTCAACCTTTGAAACACTTCAAACATCTGGAATGAAATTAAAATCACACATATGAAATAAAAACGTACAAATAAAAACATAGAAATAAAATACAGATATAACGTCAAAAAAACAGATAAAAAACATATAAAATAGAGATATTACGCCCCAAATTGACATTTTTGCAAAATATCTTTCCTCCTCATAGTGGATTAGAATAAACAAGTTCGGACGGGAGCAGATTTAAAAAATCACTACTTTAATACACCTATATAAACTGAACAAAATTTCTGCTTCAGGCTTCTGATCAGCCTGCGTAGGGACCGAGGATGCACAGTCTCGATCCTCGTTAAACTGTTCTACCGTAAAGTGTTCGACTGGTCTTCGGGCAAGCAAAGCAGAGTATCAAAATTGCGATGGATCAAGGGGACTTTAACCAATGATCCATCTGCCACTAATGGTTATTTAACGTCAGCACAGTAGTCGGTGTAAATCAGATGCGGAACGACCAGACGTCTCTGGGGAGCCTGAGCCATCACGGTCTGAGCCGTCACGGCTCCTGTATGCTAGACTTGTCAAATTTTACGTGAGCATGATTTCCACAAGCGGTAGTGAAATTCCAATTCAACTATAACTGTTGGAAGTAAATTTTCATACTTGGTCTGAAATTTACCACGGTATCCAAGGTCGCCTTTTGCGACTAAAAATGAATAACGTAGTGACAAATAAAATTCAATATTTTATTAAAAGAGTTTAAAATTAGTAAGTTTGTATAGCTTAGACAGTTTACAATTGAAAGTGACTGCAAATAATGATTTTTTTTTACTATTATTACTTTGAAGCGTAATTTATAGTGACATAGTTACGATTGAATAACTATAAATAAATAAAAAATCAATTGACTTTCTACCACTTTTTATAATTTTAGTCACCTGTGGTATCCCTGAATATTATATGATTATCATACGTATATAACTACGGTTAATTATTACTCTTAAGTGGTAATCAAAATCTTCTTAAATTAAACTTATAAATCAAAATATTAAAAAAAGCATAAATTATACAAACACTTTAAATATAAAAATGAAATTGTTTGGAAATATTTAAACATGGTATGATAAGTTCTTCTACGTGTATGATACTGCCCTTATGAGCAAATTCATAAATCCTAAGAAGTCAGTTACTGATCTCAGCAATATCATACCTCATATCGAAGACTGGTGCACAAAATGGAAGGTAGCCATCAACACCACCAAATCTTCACTGCTAATTGTTAGAAAGTCATCTATTCAATGACACAATACTAGTTCGAAAGGCCACCTACCTGGGCGTCACCATTACTAGTACTTTAAACTGGAATTCCCATATCAATAATATTATTAGCAAAGCGCAAGGATCCTATCGAGCCCTGAAGCCGATATTAAACTATAACTCAAAACTTGCACTCAAAAGAAAAAAAAGAAAAAAAAATAGTGCGTGGACTCCCTCCGCGCGGAAGAAGTGAAACTTCGTAATGAGGAAATGAAAATAGGAAGGGATAGAAATTGATTTTTAGTGAAATCATATTGTTTCTTTAAGACAAACTTTATTAACATTGCTTACAATTCACAAGTGATCGCATCTTTTAATATCCAAATCTATAACATTTACAATGGGATTATGATAACTAAAGTAAGATACGAAATGTTTGAGTTCTATTTTTTCAATATTTCTTGCAAAAACTGCATCAATGGTAGTTCCCCCTTTGGTTGTTGGATCATTCCTACCATTTATCATTTCCAATCCAAATTTGTCTTTAAGGAAGGTTAATAATGTTTCAGCTTCAGGTAACGAGAAATTCACATTAAAATCTCCTGCAAGGATCACAGGCGGCTCGTTGCCATGGTAGCGTTAAACGTTTAACGCTACCTTGTTGGAAGTCGCATTAGAAGTTTCACTTCAAAAAAAAAAACTATGTGCAAATTTCTTCAGAGATGCACTCCCTTGTGATACGTGCAACTACTTTAAAAACTTTGATTTTGAGCTCATCAAAGACAATATTAAATATAGCCCGGCAACCGCCTTTTTCCTATCCGACGGGGAACTATTCCGTAAATTTTGTAAATACTTGTATATAATTTTTCACTCGATATTCACTTATATATTTTTGTGCATTTATTATCGTGTATTTTTCCTATTTCTCTGAGACTATGTGGTTACTGTGCACCTGCGAAGCTCGGGGTTAATACCTCGAAGGGAGGCAAGGCAGTCTGCCACAAAAACCTCTTCTCTCCCTTAAATTTGTTTGTTTAAATCTCGCTATTTTATTTCACTTTTCACTCGGTAAATGTTACTGAGCCCCAACTTTCACCATTCAATTGCGCTTCGGCGATTGCTAAGATAACTACCATATAAGAGTATAATATTTTGAATCACAAGTAACCCAAGTTGTCAGCTACAGCATTCAGGTTATATGCTAAGTAATGGAGCATATATGGAATGATATTCAGCCAGATTGGAAGAACCGGAATTTTTACAAAAATGTCAAAGAACATGTATTTATTTTCTTATTAAAAAAATTAAGCATGAATAAAATTTGACAAAACGTTTCAAAAAGAAGTCTGAACTCGCTATTTAGTTAGCAATCAATGATAAAGTATCTTCTGCATATGGTTGAACTAATAAAAGCTAATAATATAACAAATATAAAGAAAAAGAAGCAAGAAAAGCTAATATGATAACAAATATTATTTACCACTTCTTAATTGAAAAATTTAAATATATAAAATTTCAATTTCATTAATTTATTGAAGTTAGAGACGCTACTGCTGCAAGTATTAATTTAGCGCTGGGCTTCGCTCGGTATGTGTTACTGATAAAATAATTAAGCTCCAAATACTATTAATTTAGGTATTCCTAGGAATTAATAGAGATTCGGGTGTGAAAGATATATAGGTTGAACACAGGCCTGAAAGCAAGAAGAAAAAGAGAAAAAACTGGTAGTAGAACTAATTCAATAATAGATAATTTTCGGGAGGATCTATTCTTAACAATAAATAATTCACTGCCATTATTTTTTTCTCGAGGAAAGAAGCAATTCAATATTTAAATTTTTTTCCGTTAAAAAAAATTTGGTAGTTATGGATATTATACGAAAAAAGGCTAAAAATGAAATTTATACTCGTTACTAGTTTTTATTTACTTCCGTCTTGCTAACTATGGACTTTCAGCCCTGATTGAACAAGATCGCGGTAACACTTCTATACTATCTCTATGAAAGCAATATGAATACAAACTGTCTTTTATTTTAACCTTTTATTCTATTTCATGATGTATGGGATATGGGCCTTCTGCGCATCCCAGGTGCCCAATTTTTTATAAAGAAAGAAAGAAACAGGGTTCATACAGAGATCAGAAGAAGAAATCCAAGGAGTTCAAAATTTTAAGGACTTATCAAAAATTTAAAAACTTTGTGTAAAAGATAGTTTTTTTAAAAAATTAAAAAGCAGTTATTTTAAGGAACTTGCAAAAATGTATAGTTTGAATTTAATTTCTATCCCTTTTGGAATAAATTTTGACTTTGTCAAACTTCCTCAAGAAAAATAAGTTATCACTTTGACACATAAATACATTTTCCAATTTCAAATATTTTAATAAATCTTGTTAAAGTACAAATGTTAAGGAGTGACATAAAAACCTACCAATCTAATATTTTTAAATTTGAATACATAAGAAAATCTAAGGCACTTTATACCAAAAAAAAAAAAAAAAAATCACAGCAAATTATTAATTAAGTTTGCTAGTAACATGTAAAATTATTTGCTGTTATTTTTCTTCTTCTAACTCTTGCAATTCGATTTTTATTCTTTTAAAAGTTTTCTTAAACTGCTAGATTTTGACAGCTGGAAATAATGTAAGCAATATTCTTTAAGTTGCAGATTTTACATGTCGAAAATATTAGCATCATTTGAAAGAATTCATGCTTGAAGATTCTAGAAATAGTGTTTTTCTACCCATGTAAAATTCGCGTCAACTGAAATGAGAGCATGTAGTTAAAAATAAGGAATAAACCATTTTTGGTTTATATTCTTTGGATAACCTCTTCGAGACGGGCGAGTCATATGCATACATGGCAGTACTTTTACTTTCGTTACTTGTACCGCCGGTACAAGTAAAAAGTACGTACTTTTACTTGTACTTCGTTACTTTTTAAATTTAGTACTTTTACTTGTACTTTCGTTATTTTTTTAGGGAAAAAGTAAAAGCATTTGTAACGGAAATATCGAATGAAATCGTTACTTTTTTCTAAAACTCGGTAAGCTTTCTTAAAAAAAAAATAATAATAAATAAAGGTGATCTGCT